AGCAGAGGATGCGGGTGGGAGAGGAGCGGCTAAAATAAGGACTGCTGGTCCTTACCTTCTGCTCTACTGCAAGCTGCTGGGTGACTACCCCACTTCCATCATTAGTGTGAAAGTTTATGCTCTAGATTAGGATTCCCCAACCTCAGGTGTATTGACATTTTGGGCCAATAATTTTTTTTTTTTTTTTGAGATGGAGTCTCGCTCTGTTGCCCAGGCTGGAGTGCAGTGGCGTGATCTTGGCTTACCGCAACCTCCACCTCCCAGGTTCAACTGATTCTCCTGCTTCAGCCTCCTGAGTAGCTGGGATTACAGGCATGTGCCACTACACACAGCTAATTTTTGTATTTTTAGTAGAGATGGGGTTTCAACGTGTTGGCCAAGCTGGTCTGGAACTCCTGATTTTCACTGATCTGCCTGCCTTGGGCTCCCAAAGCGCTGGGATTACAGGTGTGAGCCACCATGCTCTGCCTGGGCCAATACAATTCTTGATGCAGAGGGCTCCCCTGTGCACTGTAGGATGTGCACAGCAGTTTCCCTGTCCTCTGCTTACTTGATGTCAGCAGCTTTGCTCCACCTACCCACTCTTAGTGGCAATTGAAAATGGCAATCGAAAATGTCTCTGGATATTGCTGAATATTCTTTGGGAGGCAAAATTACTTCTGATTGAGAAACACTGTAAAGAAGGTAAAAGGAAGTAGTCTCTGGATTGAGGGACACGGGGCTTGAATATTATAGTGAAAACAAGGGGCTTGTATTCAGTATGAAGACTTCCTCATCCGCCCAATCCCTAGCCTTTCCCTCTGCTGGGTTCTAAGAACACAGCTAGATCCTTACGAGCACAAGAAAAAAGACAAAGATACTGACTTAGGGGATTCCCCAACATGCAGCCCAGCCAGGTCAATCTTCAGTGAAGTTCAAGGTTCAGAAGCCCCATCCACATGCTAAGGGCATCCAGACAGCTCTGCACTCCAGGAGCAAAGCCTTCTATATGGCTATATAAATAGAGAGCAAAAACCAAAAGATGAACTGGAAGAAAGAAACTTTGAAGCAGTAGAAAAAACCACCTTCGACTCCAAAATCATCAGTATCCTAGAGAGAAAAGATTTCACAAAAGTGAAAAACAGGAGGTTGCAAGGAGGAGACAAAGGTAGTTCTTCAAAACAAAAACAGTTTTTGAAATTAAAAACAGAATAGTAGAAAGTAAAAACTCAACAGAAATGTTACATGATGAAATTGAGAAAACCTCCTAGAAAACATAACAACAAAAAGAAAAAAACAGGTGAGGTAAAGTGAAAAAGTTAGTGGAAGGGCTCAGAGGGTCAAACATCTGATTAATAAGTTCCAGGGGCCAGGTGAGGTGGCTCATGCCTGTAATCCCAGCACTTTGGGAGGCTGAAGTGGATGGACTGTTTGACCCCAGGAGTTCAAAATCAGCCTGGGGAACATGGCAAAACCCGATCTCTACCAAAAAAAATACAAAAATTAGCTGGGTGTGATGGCACTTGTCTGTAGTCTCAGCTACTTGGGAGGCTGAGGTAGGAGGATTGCTTGAGCCAGGGAGGTCAAGGCTGTAGTGAGCTGAGATCAGAGCCAGACTTTGTCTAAAAAAACCAAAAAACCCAAAAAACAAATTCCAGGAACAGAAAGTGAAGAAAACGGAGGGAAAGAAATCAACTACTCAAGAAAACTCAAATAACTCAAGAAAACTCAGAATTTATGGATGTGAATTTCTATGAAAAAGACTCCTCTAAGTATCCAGCACTACTATAGATGAAATAAACCCAAATCAAGGTACATCGTGAAATTTCGGAACATCAGGTACAAAGAGAAGGTTCTTTAAACCACCAGAGAACAAACAGGTTGCCAAAAGAGACAGAAACAAGAATGGCTTTATTTAACCTTTTCTAGAAGTGAATAGAATGTTAGAAGACAATGACCAATGATTTCAAATTTCTGAAAGAAAATTATTTTTGATCTAGAAATTACCTGGCAAAAATTATCAATTAAGAGGAAGTGGAGAATATATATTTTTTTCACATATGTAATATCAAAAAAATTTACCTTCCATCCACACTTAGGAATCTATGGAAGGATATGACTCCCCAAAATGAGAGCATAAACTTTCAAAAAGGCAGCATGATAAACTAACAAGAGAACCACAGAAAGGGGTGAAGGTCATCTCCAGGATGAAGGGAAATCCAAGCATGACAGGTGCCTGAGACACAGAAGGAGCCAGACTGGAGCAGAGTGACTCAAGACAGCCAAGCCACATCAAAGGCTCTCATCACCATGCCTGATGTTATTTCACTTTCTTTCTTTTTTTTTTTTGAGACAGAGTCTTGGCTCTGTAGCCAGGCGCCAGGCTGGAGTACAGTGGTGCGATCTGGGCTCACTGCAACCTCTGCCTCCTGGGTTCAAGCAGTTTTCCTGCCTCAGCCTCCCGAGCAGTTGGAACTACAGGTGCACGCCACCATGCCCTGCTAATTTTTGTATTTTTTTTTTTTAGTAGAGATGGGGTTTCACCATGTTGGCCTGGATGGTCTTGATATCTTGACCTCGTGATCTGCCTGCCTCGGCCTCCCAAAGTGCTGGGATTACAGGCATGAGCCACCTCGCCTGGCCCATTTCACTTTCTTTTTATCAGTTGAAGCTATTAGGGAACTTACTCCACCAAAATGAGGGAGAAAAGCAAGAAAGAGAACAAAACAAATTCAACACAACAGATGGGCAAAAGGAATTCCACAGATGACAGTGAAGGGAGGACCCCTGGAGAAACAGATCCAAGATCAAAATGGGGACTCCGATTATGTGAGGAGATTGGCCTTGTGAGAAACTTCCCTGAGAAGCAATTGGAAAAGATGTGAGACAAAATTAGCTACAAAGCCTGGCCTTCGACAGCCCTGAGGCGCCGAGCCCCACAGCACTTGCGTATAGCCCTGTCCCTGCTCCGCCCCACACGGCCGGACCTAACTTATTTTGGTGTCACAGCTGAGTGCTGTTCTGGAGGTGGCCAAAGTACAGCCTGCAATGGGCCTGTAAATAGTCCAGCCCATCAGGGTGTGCTGGTCCGGCCAGTCAGCTGCAGGTGAATTGTTTCTAGAACCAAAGTCTATATAAAGAGAGAACTAACGCATAAACAAACAAAAACCAAAAACTAAGCAAAAAACCAAAACAAACTCACTATTATTAACCTTAGTAAAAACCAAAATAAATCATTGTTCACTACAGCATTCAGCTCTAGCTAATATTTATGTAAGGATAATACACACAGATTATTTACTTCAATCATAAACTAATTATAGACCGAGCACGTGGCTCATACCTTGGAATCCCAGCACTTTGGATGGCTGAGGTGGGAGGATTGATTAAGCCCAGGAGTTCAAGACCAGTCTGGGCAACATAGGAAGGCTCTGTCACTACATTAAATAAATAAGCAAGCAAGCAAGCCAGGCACGGTGGTGCGCGCCTATAGTCCCAGCTACTCAGGAACCTGATGTGGGGAAATTGCTTGAGCCCAGGAGGTTGAGGCTGCAATGAACTGTGATTGTGCCACTGCCTTCTAGCTCGGATGACAGAGTAAGACCCTGTCTCAAAAAAAAGAAACAAAAAGAATTAGAACATGGAGAAAGAAAACTTCAATCATGTAGCTGGTGCCACAGACCAAACTGGGTGCTTCCCAAACCCACATGTTGAAGCTCTAAATCCGTGTGATGGTATCAGGAGGTAGGGCCTTTGGTAGGTAGTAAGGTTTAGATGCAGTCATGAGGGTGGGGGCTCTCATGATGAGATTCATGTCCTCATGAAAAGGGATACCAGAGAGCTTCCTGTCACACTTTCTCCACCAGTGTGCACCAGAGAGAGGCCATGTAAGGACACAGCAAGAAGGGGGCTATCTGCGACCAAAGAGAGAGCCCCGACCAGACACCTGCCCTGCTGACACCTTAATCTTGGACTCCGTCTACAGCACTGTGAGAAGGAAATTCCTGTTGTTTAAGCCACTTAGTCTATGAGTCTCTAGTATTTTGTTATGGCGGCCCAAGCTAAGAGAGAAGGTAACAAGAAGTGACTAGTTAACACGTAGAGTTAAATCAGAAGATGGCAGCTCACATATTAACTACAGATATGGGTAAAGCCAGAGTAGCTGTCTCTGTGGAGACACATGGGGAGTTAAGGGAGTGAGAACTGCTGTTTGTTACAAGTCTTCTAGGTCTACAGGTATTTGACCACCCTGCTTATGTCAGTTGATTTCTAGAATTTTCTTTTCTCTCTTTTTCTTTTTGAGATGCAGTTTCACTCTTGTTCCCCAGGCTGGAGTGCAATGGCACAATCTCGGCTCACCGCAACCTCTGCCTCCTAGGTTCAAGCAATTCTTCTGCCTCATCCTTCCAAGTAGCTGGGATTACAGGCATGGGCCACCACACCCAGCTAATTTTGTACTTTTAGTAGAGACCGAGTTTCACCATGTTGGTTGGGCTGGTCATGAACTCCTGACCTCAGGTGATCTGCCCACCTCAGCCTCTCAAAGTGCTGAGATTACAGGTGTGAGCCACCATGCCCAGCTGATTTCTAGAATTTTCTGGCTAACACGTCTGCAATAACAGCAGTTTTGGTCCTTTCCGATATTTATACCACTTGTTTCTTTTTTTGTAAATGATTGCATTGGCTTGAATCTCCAGAACCATCTTCCAGAACACAGGTGATGGTGGCAATCCTTATTTTATTCTATTTTATCATTTTAGTGTTTTACATTTTTATATGTGTTGTTGGTTTTTGATAGATGATGGATACCTTTTATGGAGCTAAACGTTTCTTTTTAGTGACCTAAGGTTTCTTTTCCAACCTCTCCTGTGAACAATAAGGAGCTCAATTAAATATATTTTCTGTATCTCCTTTTCAATATTAAATACAGTATTACTAATACAGCCAACCCTTTTGATGATCCAGTGTCAGCACAAACATCAAGTATTTCAATTGCCACCTTGTGCTATAGAAGGAAACTGCTTGCCTCTATTTGGAATGGTACCAGAATATCTGTGTTTTTCTATGAAGAAAAAAAAATTTTTTTTTGACTGGTCTCATTCTGTTGTTGTCCAGGCTGGAGTGCAGTGGTGTGATCACTGCTCACTGCAGCCTCGACCTCCCCGGGCTCAGGTGATCCTCCCACCTAAGGCTTCTGAGTGGCGGGGACTACCAGCATAAATAGGTGAGACTACACTGCCACACTTGGGTGATTTTTTTATTTGCAGAAATGAGGATTTGCCATGTCACCCAGGCTGGTCTTGAACTCCTAGGCTCATGTGATCTGCCCACCTCGGCCTCCCAAGTGCTGTTGTAAGATTACAGGCACGAGCCACCATGCCCAACCTGAAGAAGTTTTGTTCAGTGAAGTTTGGTGAACTGCCAGTCATCACCTCACCTCCTGCAGCTCTCGGTGAGCTGATTTCACTTGCCCTCCTCTGTCCTTCGTGTGTACCCTCCTACCCCCACTCCATCTTTATTCCACGGACTAAGAAAACAAATGTCAGGTTTTTTACTTTTGAGACAGGGGCTTGCTCTGTCACTCAGGCTGGAGTGCAGTGGTGCAGTCGCAGCTCATTGCAGCCTCAACCTCCTGGGCTCAAGTGATTCTCCCACCTCAGCCTCCAAAGCAGCTGGAACTACAGGCGTGTGCCACCATGCCCAGCTAGTTTTAATTTTTTTTGTAGAGCCGGGGTCTCAGTATGTTGCCCGGGCTGATTTTGAACTACTAGACTCAAGTGATCCTACTGCCTCAGCTTTCCAAAGTGCTGGGATTACCAGTGTGAGCCACCGATTTCAGCCTAATTTTAAAAATCATCCCGAAAGACAATACGTTTGTCCCTGAGGACTCCCTGTGGTGTCTAAGAGCTTTGTGACAGCGATTCTGCTGCTCAGAGGAAGTATCTGATGGCAGTGTTAAAGAGTCTCATTTATTCAAATACCTGAGTATTATTATGACACAAGTTTTCTAGGCACTGTTGGTAGGGCAGGAAATGCTATGTTGATATAGGATACAAGCTGGCTGATTTATTTTTGACTTAAGCCTTGACTGGCAGGAGCGCCTTATTGAAAATGTACTCTAGCCTTGAAAACAGGTAACTTTTGACAATTAACTAAGCTAACCTAGAAGCAATGCACCAGCTGTTCCCAGCTGGCTTAGCTCTGGGGATTTGCACTGTTCTGGTGAGATCTCAGCATACCGCTGAAATACCGCATTAGATTTTTAATTATTTATGATACTAATTCCTTGCAGTGAAGTGGCACTGGAAATCAGCGATCCTAGATTTGCTGTTATGTGGCCTGCCGGAAGAGAACCAACCAGTATTACCATGCCTGCTCTACTTCTGGCTTACATTTAACACGGCACACATGGCAACATTCATTCATTCATTCAAAAACCCGAGGTCCTGGCCGGGCGCAGTGGCTCATGCCTGTAATCCCAGCACTTTGGGAGGCTGAGATGGGTGGATCATTCGAGGTCAGGAGTTCGAAACCAGTCTGGCCAACGTGGTGAGACCCTGTATCTACTGAAAATACAAACAGCCAGGCGTGGTGGCACACGCTTGTAATCCTAGCTTCTCGAGAGGCTGAGGCGGGAGAATCACTTGAACCTGGGAGGCGGAGTTTGCAGTGACTAGAGATCATACCACTGCACTCCAACCTGGGTGATAAGAGTAAGATTCTGTCTCAAAAAAGCAAAACAAACACCAAAAAAACACACCAACAAACACCTGAGGTCTCAATGGCAGTGTAACGATGGGGAAAAACAGACACGGTCTCTGCCCCTAGAGAAGGTACGTCAATTGATATTTAATTATAAACTGTCATAAATCCTATGAAAAGAAACTATGCTGATACAAGAATGTAAAGCATAAGGACCCAACCGAGTCCGGATGGTCAGAGGAAGTCAGAGACAAATAGGTGAATGAGAGTTAGTCAGGCAAAATGTGGGTGGTGGAAGGAATGCCAAAACTCTGAGACAGACACCCCAGCTGGTGACAGGGGTCTTTTGTAGGTCTTAACACCTGAAGCTCACGGGGAAGTCCACTTGCAAAGGAGGTCTGCCATCAGAAGGCAGTCTCCAAGGAGGCACCTGTTCTTAAAGCCAAGACTTATCCCACAGTGGTTTGAAGGCCAAAGAATGTTAGTGTTGGATTGATTAATTCCTCATTTCACAGATGAAGAGATGCTTACAAATGAAGAAAAGACCACGCCACATTCAGAAGCAACCAGCCTAGGGTCATGAGCTACTCAGTGGTCAAAGCAGAACCGGCGTTCAGCGGCATCTTCCAATCTGGTGCTATTTTTATTTATCCTATAGTCTTGATTGATTCCCTGTTCCTTCCTTCTCCTTCCTCTCTGGCTGGGGTGACACTACCACACGTGGTAATAGCAGACTGAGAGGCACAATTTGCTTAGTGGGGAAAATCCTTACTTGGAAGTCAGTCTACCTGAATGCCATTAACCCTCGGGCAAGTCACTAACCTGAGTTTCAGTTTCCTCAACTGTAAAATGGGGATAGAGAGGCTTCCCTCCTAGGGCGTGGGAGGACAAAAAGAGTTAATCAATGTATGCACAACAGTGCTTGCGAGGTTCTGTGTCCGTTATCACTGCTATGCTAATATTGCCAGAGTTTACAATGGCTTTTTTAAATTTTGAGACAGAGTCTTGCTCTGTCACCCAGGCTGGAGTGCAGTGGTGTAATCTCCGCTCACTGCAACCTCCACCTCCTAGGTTCAAGCAGTTCTCTGCCTCAACCTCGCAAACAGCTGCAGCTGGGACTACAGGTGCCTGCCACAATGCCTGGCTAATTTTGTGTGTGTGTATTTTTTAGTAGAGACAGGGTTTCACCATGTTGACCAGGCTGGTCTTGAACTCCTGACCTCAGGTGATCCACCCACCTCCGCCTCCCAAAGTGCTGGGATTATAGGTGTGAGCCACTGTGCCCAGCTCCAATGGCTCTTAGGAGGAACACCTCTCCTCTTTCTCAGGTAAAAAATGTACTTTTCTCTGTAACTAAAGCTTTTTATACTTGCGTGGAGCCACGAAGTCCATTTCCAGCTCCCTGGATATAGGGACTGAGCTTGAGAGTGCTCTCATGAGTACTAATGCCAACAAGGTGTCGGGCTATGTGAACTGTGAATGCTTAAACCTGCAGCTCTGTCTTCCTGGCCCTGTGTGGACACCTGCATGCCACAAGGCCACCTCAGTACCATGGTTAGCATGCCCCCTGTTCCTATTTGGTTAAATGGTATAATGCCAAGGCCATCTGGCCTGGTAGGAAGAGCTGGGCTTTGAATTCTTACCACCAGTGTGACTAGGCAAATAGCTTTCATCTATTCAACCAATATTTATTGAGGACCTATATGCCTAAGCCCCAGGTACTAATATAATATCTACTATGGAGTAAGGAAGCTCTTCTTGTACCTTACCTCATCTGACCCACACAGCCCCCAAAACAGATTTTTGCTTTGGGTTTTTGTTTTTTTTTTTTTATGAAATGGAGTCTTGCTCTGTCGCCCAGGCTGGAGTGCAGTGGCATAATCTTGGCTCACTGCAACCTCCACCTCCTGGGTTCAAGTGATTCTCCTGCCTCAGCCTCCCGAGTAGCTGGGATCACAGATACGCTACACCACAGCTGACTAATTTTGGTGTTTTTATTGGAGAGGGGTTTCGCCATGTTGGTCAGGCTGGTCTCAAACTCCAACAGGTGATCCACCCGCCTCCGCCTCCCAAGGTACTGGGATTGCAGACGTGAGCCACCGCGCCCAGCCCGAAGCTTTGAAACTGTACTACACATCAACATCATGCCACAGGTAAGTTAACTTTTCTGGGTCTCAGTGTCGTCATCAATATGTTGGGATAATACATATTTTCTAAAATCCACACAAGACAATATGCTCTACAAATGATAGTTGCTATTGTGATTAATACCTGGAAAAAACTGTTGGCAGATCATAAACCTGACTTGGAGGAACAGGCTGGTGTTTGAGACAGAGAAGTTGGCTCCCGCCATGTTCCTGCTGCGTGAGGGATGGGACATTACCTAGAATGCCACCAGCCAGCCCCTCCCCAGGTGCAAGGTTCTGGGCATATGGAGATTCTACTAAAAGCAGCAGAAGCTCCTGGGCAAACCCACTCCCAGTTCTGCAAAACAAGATGCCCGTCAGTTGTCCATCACTGTTGGTCCCCAGGGAGTGTGATCTTCAGACTGAATAGGGCTGATCACAATAAGGCCTTTGACATGCTGGCCTTTCACATGGCATCTAGGTTAAGGACAAGTAGATGTAAAACAGGGTGGCAACTGATCCTATTTTTCTCTGATGGCTTAAACACCCAAGTCAGAGAGCATGCGGCTTTCAATTCAATGAATTCCACGAAACCTTGCAAGAAAGGTGATATTCTACAGAGTCTGACATAAGAGCCAGTTGGGGTCAGTAAACAAGCTGTGGGCATCTGCCACGTGCCATGCACAATACTGAGTGCCCAGGGTACAAAGGTGAATGAGGCTTGGGGTCTCCGCACAGGAGGAATTTGCCATCTGGTGCAAGAGACAAACACGATTTAGTTTTTTTTCTCCAGGGGTTGGCAAACTTTGGCCCACGGCCTCATGGTTTCTGTTCTGTGCAGTCAATGAACACAGACATGCTTATTCATGAATGCATCATCCATGGCTCTTTTCACGCTACAACAGCAGAACATGCAACCTCTTGGCTACAAAGCCTGAAATATTTACTATCTGGTGCTTTACAGAAAAAGTTTGCCAATTCCTGTTTACCGTCACACATATGTGCACTTATGTTTTTGTTACCTGTGTTTCAAATAAATCAGGTTATTAACATATCAAGCCAGAGAAGATCAAACAACAAAAGAGTGTACCTCCTGCCTGGACCATCAAGGAGTTACGCTGTCCTGAAACTGACCCCTTTCTACGTTTGCTTTCCAGAGTCAAAGGGACTCTTCTGATCCACAGTCAGACGCGTTATCCATTGAGCCACTGGCCCTTCGACACAGGGACTCTTTAAATCAGTAATCTCCACTTCCATTCCAGGTTAGGAGCCCTTCTGTTTAGCAAGCAAGGCGACCATCTTCATTTATCCACTAGAGGGTACCCAAACACTGCTTATAAAAGACAAAACAACCAGACCCTGTTCAATGGGCAGAGATCAGAGTTTACCATCTGTCTGGAAGAGTTCCTACACTTAAAACGCATTGCACAGAGGTGGCAGGGCACGGAAGAATAAACTCAACTCTCGCCCATTAGTACCAGACGTTGCCTGGAAACAGATCTGACAAGAAAAGCGGTCAGCTGGCTGAGACAAAGATGAACGAGTAAAGACATGGAAGGGCAAACTTAATCTACAAACTCACAGCCGCCTCCTCACACCCCTGCAGAGTTCTTACTGAAGTGTGTTTAATACTTTAATGGGGAACTGTGTGGCGCCTCAACCAGTACAACTGAAGGGCTCAGGTCTTGCTGCTTTCTCCAACAAGGCACTTGGCTAGAAAGGTAGTTTGTATTAGGGAATGGAGAGCTGGCTCTTGGGAGAAGCATGTCTCAATTGCCCCGGAGAATTCTGAACCATATGGTTGTCTTTCTATTTTCAAACAACATGAAAATGGGCATCTCCTGGCCCTCTCTGACCTCTTCTGAAGTCCCACCATAGGATTCCTCTGGATACTCTACTCCAGATTAGAACAAAACTTGAGGCCTAGATATTGTTAGTAATTTCTGAATTATCTTTTTTAAAATCAAATTTAATTGATTTTACTATACTTTAAGTTCTGGGGTACATGTACATATCATGCAGGATTGTTACATAGGTATACACGTGCCATAGTGGTTTGCTGTCTCCATCCCCCCATCACCTACATTAGGTATTTCTCCTAGTTATCCCTCCCCAATCCCCCCACCCTGTTCTCCCTCCTCTAGTCCCCCACCCCCCAACAGACCCCTCCCTGTGTCCACGTGTTCTCGTTGTTCAACACCCACTTATGAGTGAGAACATGTGGTGTTTGGTTTTCTGTTCTTATGTCAGTTTGCTGAGAATGATGGTTTCCAGATTCATCCATGTCCCTGCAAAGGACACGAACTCATCCTTTTGTTTGGCTGCATAGTATTCCATGGTGTATATGTGCCACATTTTCTTTATCCAGTCTATCCTCAATGGGCATTTGGGTTGATTCAAAGTCTTTGCTATTGTGAACAATGCCACAATAAACATACGTGTGCATGTGTCTTTATAACAGAACGATTTATAATCCTTTGGGTATATACCTGTGGGAAGAAAGTTACCCAGGTGCCACGGCAAGAGACTGAAGGCACAATCTGTCCCAGCAAGATAAATAACGGATTACTTAGTTATAGCAATGGTACCAAATAGATTTACTGATTACTTAATTATAGCCATGATATATTTACTGATTACTTATAGAAATGACACCAAATAGATATTAGATTCAATCACAGAATCAATTATATAATCAATCTTATTATATCATTATTCGCTATTGATCTTTGCTTTATTGTAGGAACATTTTAGTTTTAGAGTAAAGACATAATCGGGTGAAATATAATTCGGAACTGAAGGGACATTGTGAGAAGTGATCAGGAGGTGAGAGTAAATGCCTTGCAGTAACACCAGCGCCTGGGAAGGCACCGGTTACCTAGCAGGCAGGCCTTGCCATAACGCCAGCGTCTGGGGAGGCGCCCGTTACTTAGCTGTGAGGGGGAGTTTCCCTCTCACTGGGGAGTTCAGAAAACTCTGCCCTGCCAGCTCTTGAGGAAGATCTGACACTAGCCAGGCCGGCCCACAGACATCCAGGGGTTTAAACACCTCTCCGTGGTGCTGTGCTCCAGTGGTCACCATCCTCGTCCACTTTCATGTTCCACTTTCCCACCTTGTAAATTCTTAGAAGCTGTGAGAATAGAGGAATCCTAAAAGTCTTTGATCTCTCTGATAAGTACATAGAAAGATACTGAAGTATATGCCTCCCCTCTTTGCAGTGGCTACCTGAGAGGTAAGGGCCCTCTGTGCTGTACCCACGTGACCCCCTGAACTGTACCCATGTGGCCCCCCCCGTATTGTAAGAATGTGATTTCCTTGACCCCTACCAATCACTCTCCTGACCCTGCCCCCCTGCCTTGTATACAATCATTATCAGTGTGTCCAGGCTTTCAGGGCCACTGCTGGGCTCCATGCCTCTTTGGTAGCAGTGGTCCCCTGAGCCCAGCTGAATTCTTCTCCTATCTCTGTGTCCTTGTCTCTTTCTTTTCTACGATCTATTGTCTCTGCACACAAATGAACACCTGCTACACCCTGTGGGGCTAGACCCTGCATATACCCAAGTAATGGGATTGCTGGGCCAAATGGAATTTCTATTTCTAGATCCTTGAGGAATCACCACGCTGTCTTCCACAATGGTTGAACTAATTTACACTCCCACAAACAGTATAAAAGCGTTCTTCACATCCTCTCCAGCATCTGTTGTCTCCAGATTTTTTAATGATCACCATTCTAACTAGCGTGAGATGGTATCTCAATGTGGCTTTTATTTGCATTTCTGTAATGACCCTTAGGACTTTAGTCTGATATTCTATGATCAGCTAAAGACAACAATGTGACAATACCACTGGATCCTGATTTTCCCAGCAGGCAATGGAATGGAAATCAGTCTATTGGGCTGACTTTAAAATATGCCCACAACCTCTTTGATGCTCTTCTTGAAGGTAAGTGCGACTTAGTGACTTGGTTTTGATGAGCAGAATGTGTTAGAAATGATGCTATGTGACTTGGGAGGCTGTGTCATAAAAAGGAGATAGCCTCCTCCAGCTGTCTCACTCTTGGGTCACTTCCTCTGGGGAAGCTAGCAGCCATGTTGTGAGGACACTCAAGCAGCCTTGCAGGGAGGTCAACATGGAACAGAACTGAAGTTTCCCACCAACAGCCAGCACCAGCTTGCCAGCCACGTGAGTGAAGCTGATTCTCCAAGCTGAATCCTCAGAAGTGAAATCTGCAGCCCCAGTTAAACTTTAAATGACTGCAGCTCTGGCTGACATCTGATGGAACCTCAGGAAAACACCTGAGCCAGGGCTGCTCAGCCAAGTTGATTCTGAATTCCTCATGTATAGACACTGTGAGTGATAATAAAGGTCTACAACTGCTTTAGGCCATTACATTTGAGGGTAATTTATTACACAGAATTAGACGGCTAATATACCTAGTACCATCCAATTTTGTCTTATATACAATAGGTAGTGTGTTAGGTACAAAGCCTGGGACACCCAGCTTTGTTATGAATTTGCTGTGTGACCACAGGCATAACTATGTCTCTGAGCCTCAGTTTGTACCTCCACAAGATGGGTACATCATCACCTAGGTTGCAACAGGGTCTTAAGGTGTCTGTAAAGATAGAGGTAAAAGCAGTAATATCACTGTCATGCTTTTCCATTTCTTTTTTTGAGATGGAGTCTCACTCTGTTGCCCAGGCTAGAGGGCAGTGGTGCGATCTTAGCTCACTGCAACCTTCGTCTCCAGGGTTCAAGCAATTCTCCTGCCTCTGCCTCCAGAGTAGCTGAGACTACAGGCATGCACCACCATGCCTGGCTAATATTTTGTATTTTTAGTAGAGATGGGGTTTCACCATGCTGGCCAGGCTCGTCTCGAATTTCAGAGCTCATGATCCACCTGCCTCAGCCTCCCAAAGTGCTGGGATTGCAGGTGTGAGCCACCACACCTGGCCTAGTTTCATGTTTTTTTCTCCCAGAGAACATGATTTAATGCTTAGCAGAGCTGGTTTCTTAGCAGTAATGGTCCAGGGTACTCAGTCAGTGAAGGAAAGGAGTGGGAGGTTTCCCATGCCTTTAGAACGGCTGGGCTCAGGGTGCTGAGGAGCCTTAAGAGCAGAGGCTGGCATGCTCTTACTGTAAAAGGCCAAATAGTAAATATTTTTGGCTTTGTGGGCCACATGGTCTCTGCCACAGCTACTCAATTCTGACACTGTAGCATGAAAGCAGCATAGACAATAGGTAAATGAATGGGGAGCAACTGTGTTCACTAAAATTTTTTTTACAACAGGCAGCTGGCTGGACTTGGCCGCTGGGCTGTAATCTGCCAACCTCTGCGCCTTGTAGCCATGGCTTCTCCATTGATGTGGTCTGGTCCCAGGCCAGCAGGATCAGGATCCCCCAGGAGCACGTGAGAAAACCAGACTTTCGGGCCACAGCCAAATCTGCTGAGTCAGCATTTCTGGAAGGAGCCCAGCAAGGCGTCTTCACAAGCCCAGGCAGCTCAGGTTTAAGAAGCCCTATCTTCTTCCCTCTTTCTCATGGGCTGCTCCACGCACCAGAGACTTAAGAGGAATACTGAATGCTGATGCCCCAATCAAAGACCTTCTCAGGACTCACAAAGAACAGACCTTCCCCCAGAATCAGTGAAACATACTTGGATCATGGTCCTGGGTCAGCAGTAAGTACAGCAGCAGCCAGCCCCAGGCAGACAGCTTAGGGTCTTCAGGAACACTGGACAAATTCGTGAAAGACGCTTAAAGTGAGGGGATTGGATCTGGTGTATTCCAGGGCCACCTCTGCCCGCAGGCCTGGACGGCGTTATCTGCGGTCACCTGCTAACCTGGCTCCCACATTTACTTACTTCTTTAAACACTTTTCCATTTCACATGTTGGTTTCTGCTGTGGTTTGAATGTGGTCCCCAAATTTTTATATGTTGGATACTTGGTCCTCAATGCAGCCGTGTTGAGAGGTGGGATCTCTGGGAGGTGATTGGATCCTGAGGGCTCTGCTCTCATAAATGGATTAATCCATTCATGGATTAATGAGTTATCAAGGGAGTAGGTTTGTTATGACAAAAGGGAGACTGTTTTAAAAGCCAGTCTTACTGTCTCTCGTGAGCCCCCTTGCTATGTGATGGCCTATACCGCCTCAAAACTTTGCAGAGGGTCCCCACCAGCAAGAAAGCCCTCATCAGCTGTGATGCCCTGACCTTTGGCTTCCCCGCCTCCAAAACTGGAAGAGACAATGGTTTTCTTAATAGATTACCCAGTCTCGGGTATTCAGCCATAGCAACAGAAAACAGACAAAGACGATTTCCTTCTGTTTTGGTGAAGCATGGGGTATAAAAGGCAAAGAGGAGAAGAACAAAATGAATGCTATCTCCTAAGGAATACAACTGAGATAAAGGCTTATAGGAAAGAAGCAACAGGAAAGACGATGAGAGAGTAGTGAGGAAGAGGCCAGTCTCTATAAAAACTGCTGCTTCTGTGTGGGAGAGAAACGCTTATGAATGACAGTAAACCTCTTACCTCTAACCAGCACGATATTTCTATAAGACATCACCTTACGTTGCTCACATCTCATTTAGCTACAAAGTTGCATGATAGAGATATGACCATCTCTCTTTTAGGGAGGGAAACTGAGGCTTACAGCAGTGAAGGGCTATGTTCAAAAGCACATTCTGCAAAGCTGCTGGAGACCTGGCTGAAAGGCAGGTCTAGGCTTCCTTTCTGCTACAGAGCCTCCCAGCACTGCCACAGGTCCACAGCCCAGTTCGAGGTCAAGATAAAATCTTACATGTACAAGCCTTGAATTGTGCCGACTCTACTTTACCACAGGTCCCCTGAAGGGACTGCACAGAGCCTGAGAACCGGCTCTACCTGGGATAGCTCCACCTCTGTCCTTCTACCTTTAGGCACTAGGGAGGAAGGTGGGAGGAGGGCGGGACATCACACAAAAAGGTTCAGGTGTGGTTGTACAACTGTGCATGTATCAAAAGCCACACAGCTACTCTTTAGTGTCAATCTCAAAAGAAATGAAATAAAAATCAAACAAGGAGGATTATGAAATGCTTCCCTCCACCAAAGATGCCACACATTTGCCCCAGCGCTGGCGGTGTGAGAAGCCGTGCCCTCATGCTGAGAGTCACTGTGCTGGAGGGCCTCTCCCACTTGGCCAGGCTGCTTTCTGGAGTCTGTCATTCCCTCAGTCCACTTGCCCTCTGGATGTTTAACTGCTTCTGAGTGCAGGAAGTAAGACCGTGCGCTTCTTCCTCAAGGGAGAGGTCTGATCTCCTACCCAGCAAGTCTCCCTGATTTTATGAAACTGAAAGGGCCCTGGCAGACATACACGCCCTTTAGGAATCTATATTCCTTTGTCATGTCCATTCTTCATTCTGAAATTCCTGGGTTATCAGACCTTCTTTCACACAGAAGAAAATTTAGGAGAGCCTTAAATCATAATGATCAGTCCGGGAAACACATGAGAACAGGTGACCTTCAGCACATCTGTTCTACCCAATTAGCCTTCGCCCCCATGGCTGCCAGCTGCACCAGGCTTAGTAGAGTCCAATGGTCAAGGTTAGTGAACTCATGGCTGCAGAGATAGAGAGAGTTGCCCACCTGGCCCCTGAAAACAAGTTTAGGAATGTCAAGCCCTCCATGGAGGTGAGTCTGGCTGCGCACGTTTCACGAAGCTTTTCCCCAGGCAAGCTGGTCTGCTTCCGGCGGGAGATGTACAGCTTACCAGAGGGTCCCACGACCCCCCACCTAGTGCGCCTGACTCCACCATGCCAGAATCTCCTTCTTTGTCTACATCCATCAGGAGATGGGCACAAATACACGCAAGGTGGGGAGAATGACAGGTACAGGAAGGCGTCATACTCTCCAGCTCTCCCAGGAAAGGAGTGGGATGGAGAGCACAGCCTCATGCCAGCTTGGCAGACCCACTGGTGCCCCTGGAGACCAAGCCAGGTCCTTCCTGCTATCTGTGACAGAAGAGCCCTGGCAGGATAGAGTTATAATTCCTGGCCAGGCCTCCCCACTTGGGCAGAGTATGTCAAAGGTAAACTCCAGGAGCAGGTGGGCACTGAGAGACACTGCCCCTCAATGTGCCAGCAACTTCTCCCTTCCCTCCCTCCCTCACCAAGATGGCCCGGGGGCTAGTGGAGCAAGAGTGCAGAAGGCCCTTGGCCTCACCATCTGGAAGGTAGGAGTTGGCGGTTTTCAACTGAGGCAGAGGAGGGCAGGCATGAGTGACGGATGTCACTGGTTCACTTTACACCATTTTTTTAACTGGGGGAAGGGAGGTGAACTTTAAGCGGAAAGAAATTTAAAATTTGATTGTCACATTAAGGCAAAAGGATACGGTAAACACAAATTCGGGTATATTTTTAAGAGAAAACATGAGCTGGCTTCAAAAAGCTCAAATTGTGCTGAGTGGGGAGCTTCTGGGACATGTTCCTTTGTCCCCCCTTTTTTTTCTTGTTAATTGACTGTTTTTTAGAGCAGTTTTAGCTTTACAGAAAAATTGATTGGGCGTGGGGGCTCACGCCTGTAATCCCAGCACTTTGGGAGGCTGAGGCAGGAGAATCACTCTCCCCAGGAGAACCTGGGAGGCGGAGGTTGCAGTGAGCCGAGATCACACCACTGAACTCCAGCCTCGGTGACAGAGGGAGACTCTCAAAAAAAAAGAACAAGAAAAATTAATTGGAACATGCAGAGTTACCACATATCCCCTTCTCTCCTCCCTCAGCTCTCCTATAATTTATATCTTATATTATTGACACATTATTATTGACCAAAGCTCATAGTTTACATTAGGGTTCACTCACAGTGACAGGTATTCTATGGGTTTAGACAAATGTATAATGACGTGTATCTATCATCAGAGCAGCACACAGTATTTTCACCTCCTAAAACCATCCATGCTCTGCCTATTCATCTTTCTTTCTTTCTTTTTTTTTTTTTGAGATGAGTCTTGCTCTATCACCAGGCTAGAGTACAGTGGCACAATCTCAGCTCACCGCAACCTCTGCCTCCCAGGTTCAAGTGATTCTCCTGCCTCAGCCTCCCGAGTAGCTGGGACTACAGGCTCGCGCCACCACGCCCACCTAATTTTTGTATTTTTTAGTAGAGATGGGGTTTCACCGTGTTGGCCAGGATGATCTCAATCACTTGACCTCGTGATCCACCTTCCTCAGACTCCCAAAGTGCTGGGATTACAGGAGTGAGCCACCGCGCCCGGCCCTGCCTATTCATCTTTCTCTGCATTGTCTCTAACCCTTGGCAACCACTAATCTTTCTAATGTCTCTGTACCTTTTCTCTCTCTTTTTTTTTTTTGGTGGAAAAGTGAATACAGAAATACTGTGCTGCGGTTACAAGAAATGGATTAAATCTAGGAAAACAGTTCATTCTTCAGAAGAGTGCTAAATGAGAAAGAATAAAAAAAAGAAAGAAACAAATGTAGCCCGGTGCTTCCCAAATGTCAGTGTGTACACAGCCGCCAAAGGTCTCGTTAGAACGCAGGTGCTGACCCAGCAGGCCTGGGATGAGGCCTGGGATCCGCATTTCTAACAGGCTTTCTGTGACGCTTGTGCTGCGGGTCCACAGAACATACTGAGCAGCAAGGGGCTAGATGAGGAATGACACGATTACAGCCTAGTAGCCAAATCTGCCCACAGTGTTATTGCACAGCCCACAAGCTACAAGTGGTTTTAAATAGTTGAATAAAAACAAATCAAGAGATTATTTTGTGATGTATAAACATTATATGACATTCAAATTTCAGTGTCTGTAAATCAAGTTGTATTAGAACATAGCCACGCTCACTCATTTGCATATGCCGTTGGCTGCTTTTGTGCCACAATGACACAGCTGAGTAGATGCAACAGAGTCCATATGGCCCATCAAGTCTAAAATTGTTACTCTCCGGCCCTTTACAGAGTTTGCCAACTGCTGCTCTAGACTGCTGTCATCTATGTACATTAAAAACACACACCTGCAAAACCACCCTGTTTATAAGAATACACACAAATAGCACATACTTCAAATGCATGTTCATCATATGTTATTAATTAGCCCATGGGAGAAGGGGAGGGGAAAACAGTAAGAAACGAGGATAAAAGGCAACAAACCAAACAAGGGGGGCCTTCTGAGGACCCATGAGGTTATAGCCATGAGCTAGGTGGGAAGATTAACTCTCTTCCCAAGTCCAGCAGTTTGGTCTCACTAAGCACCTCTCCCCTCTTAGAGGGGCTCCCAGAGGCCCCATGGAGTGGCCTCTATTTTCAGAGACTGGCTGCTTTATACAGATTCAAGAAGGATGGAGGCCACTGAGCATGCTCAGAACAGCATTAGAAGGCACTTCCCTAACCAGCCTGAATTCCTGTCTCAGCAACCTTGTTTCTCAGCCCCTCCCCATGAGGCCTTTGCCCTACTGGCCAGATCTCCATTCCTATCACCTCCTTCTGTGCCCTTCTCCAAGCTGCCCACCCCTCACCTCTTGCCCCCTCTTTACCACTCCTCAGGTCTCAAAACCCACTGTGATTCTGCTTGAGATTCTATCCCAGCCAAGAAGCCCCCTCTCTCTTCCAGCTGGGTCTCACATGGCAGAAGTCACCTTTCTTAATATACGCATGAGGCTACTGATGCCCAGAGGTAACTGTCCCCTGTGCAGGTCCACAGCAGGTGGAACTAGAACCCAGAACCCCAGCTTCACATCTTGTGCTGCGCCACTGCGATGGGCTGCACCTACCCCAGCCCCACGTGGACAATGCCTTGTTTTCTTATTGCAGTGCGCTTCTATAGGATTTCAAGTTTTTCATCCAAAATGTGCTTGAATCCTCATTTATTTTACCGTTGCCTCACAATTTAGGTGTTGCTTTTTTTCCCTTTCTATTCATGACTTACTTTCATGCACACGTGGTCAAAAGAATGTAACGTTTAACACCTTCATTTTTTTTTTTTTTTTTGAGACGGAGTTTCGCTCTTGTTACCCAGGCTGGAGTGCAATGGTGCGATCTCGGCTCACCACAACCTCTGCCTCCTGGGTTCAGGCAATTCTCCTGCCTCAGCCTCCTGAGTAGCTGGGATTACAGGCACACACCACCATGCCCAGCTAATTTTTTGTATTTTTAGTAGAGACGGGGTTTCACCATGTTGACCAGGATGGTCTCGATCTCTTGACCTCGTGATCCACCCGCCTCGAGTGCACAGTATCGCAGCGTTGGCTGTCTGCACACTGTCGCTCAGCAGAGCTCTAGCACTTTTTCATCTTGTAAAACCAAAACTGTGTAGACACTGAACAGCAGCTCCCCCTTTCACCCTCCCTTCATCCCTCGGCACCCACCATCCTACTAAGAGTTTGATTACTTTGGATACCTTATAAGTGAAAACGTGCAGTATTTGACTTTCTGCGACTGGCTTATTTCACTTAGCATGATGTCCTTAAGGTTCATCATGACAGAATTTCCTTTTTTCAGACTGAATAACACTCCATTGTGTGCATATCTCATATTTTTTTTTACCCATTAATCTGTTGATGGGCGCTCAGGTTGCTTCTGACTCTCGGTTATCGTGAGTAATGCCGCAACGAACATGAGTGTCAAATATCTCAAGATACTGGTTTTTTTGTATGGTTTATTTGTTCATTGTTTTTCTAATCAGCTGAATTTAACAGTCAAAGATCCTGTTTTTAATTCTTTTGGATATATACCCAGAAGTGGGATTATTGGGTCATAAGGAAACTTAATTTTTAATTTTTTGAGGACCCTCCACACTGTTCCCCAGAGTGGCCTCACCGTTTTACATTCCCACAAACAAGGCACAAAGGTCCCAGTTTCACCACATTCGTGTCAGTACTTCTTATTTTCTGTTTATTTGATACTGTCCATCCTAACAGGTGTGGGGTAATATCTCATTGTGGCTTTGATATGCATTTTCCCAACGACTAGTCACATTGTTCATATTTCCCTATGCTTGTTGCCATTTGCATATCTTTTTCTGAGAAACGTCCACTCCTTTCCCCATTTTTAAATTTGATTTGTATTGTTGCTGTTGTCGAGTTGTAGGAGTTCTTTACATATTCTGGGTGTTAACCTCTTATCACATACGCGGCTTGCCGGTATCCTTCCCCTTCTGTCATGATCAGTTCCATGGCTGGGCAGATGTTTTAGGTTTGGTACAGCCCTATTTGCCTACTTTTGCTTTTGCTGACTGTGCTTTTGGTGTCATATGCAAGATGTCACTGCCGAATCCAATGTCATGAAGATTTTCTCATTTTCTTCTAGGAGTTTTAGAGTTTCAGGTCTTACATCTTGGTCTATAATTTATTTAATTTTTATACACGGTGCCAGGTAAGGATTCATCTTCACTCTTTTGCATGTGGATATCCAGCTTTCCCAGCCATTTGTTGAAGATTCTGTCCTTTCTCATTGTGAGGTCTTGGTATGTTTGTCCACTTTTCCATAATCACTTGGAAAACCATCTGTTGTCCATAAATGACATATATTGATCATAAATTAGGAATGTTCATAGATCATTTGACTCCATACATGAGCATTTATTACTAGGCTCTCTATTCTGTTCCATTGGTCTATATGTCTATCTTTATGCCAATACCATACTATTTTGATTGCTATAGCTTTATTTTATATATATATATATATATATAAATGCATACATATATTTTTTAAAAGGGTCTTGTTATATTGCCCAGCCTGGAGTGCAGTGGTTATTCATAAGTGAGATTATAGTGCACTACAGCCCCAAACTCCTGGGCTCAAAAGAGCCTTCTGCTTTAGCTTCCCAAGCAGCATACCACTGTGCCCAGCTAGTATATCACCTTTTAAAATCAGGAAGTGTGGGGCCTGTGGCATTATTCTTCTCTCTTACTACTGTTTTGACTATCTGGGGTCCTCTGTGATTCCATCGGAATTTTAAGATTTTTTTTTTCTATTTCTGCCAAAAAAAACCCCACTGGAATTTTGATTTGGATTGCACTGAATCTGTAAATCATTTTTGATAGTATGAACAATTTAACAATATACATCTTCCACTCTATGAACATAGTATGTCTTTCCATTTATGTCTCCTTTCTTTCAGCAGTGTTCTGTAATTTTCAGTGTAAAAGTCTTTCACCTAAGTGTTTCATTCCTTTTGATTCTATTGTAAACAGGATTTTCTTAACTTCCTTTTTTGATTGCTCATTGTTAGTGTAGAGGAATGCCAATTGAATTGTGTGTTGTTTTGTATCCCGCAACTGTGCTGAATTTATTAGTCTGAACAGCTTTTTTGGAAGAATCTTTGGAGTTTTCTACATACTAGGTCATGTCATTGGTAAGCATAGATAATTACTTTTTCCTTTCCTATTGGATGTCTTTTATTTCTCTTTCTTGCCTGGGTAGGACTTCTGGTCCTTTGTTGAATAAAGGTAGAAAGAGAGGCATTCTTGCCCTGCTTCTAATCTTAGCCAAAAAGCTTTTTTGTACCACTGAGTATGATGTTAGCTGTTGGCTTGTCATATATAGTCTTTAGTATGTTGAGGTAATTTCCTTCTATTCCACGTGTTTTTATCATGAAAGGGTGTTGAATTTTGCCAAGTGATTTTTCTGTATCAATTGAGATGACCATGTGGTTTTATACTTCATTCCGTTAATGTGGTGTTACTACATTAGTCTTCACGTTGAACTATCTTTGCATTTCAAAAATAAATCCAAGTTGAACATGTATAATCCTTTTCCTATGTT